TAATATAATATAATATAATATAATATAATATAATATAATATAATATAATATAATATAATATAATATAATATAATATAATATAATATAATTGATACAAATTTTCTTGAGTTTTCTTTTCTTATTATTTCGTTTAGGTTCAAAGAATAATCGGTTTTATCGAAACGGAGCATAAATTTTCTTTTTGCAGCTACTTTATCCACCGATGCGAAATCTCTTCATCCCTGTGTTCCTGAACTGCTGGTTGGCAAAGCATTCTTTGGAGAATATGTTCGTGAGTAAAATTATTATATACAATTCTGCGATTTATTATCATTTACAATCATTTTGATTGTATTCGATCATTCTGAAATTACGATCGCACAACTTTCGTATCGTTACTCGACATCTTCTCTTCCAGAATGATCTACACAGGGCCATGCAGAAATCCCAGTCAGCTTTAAGTCAACAACTGATGATCCTTACTGCTACATTACTGTGCCTTGTCTTTACTAGGTAAGCCTTTTATACCGAGCGACCAATTTCGCGCTTAGTTATCTCCTAAACTATAGGTTTCTTCGAAAAATCTTCTAAACGAAACTCACCCTGTTTCGAGGGGTGCATCTTACGACAGTCGCGAATTCTCTCTAGATGAATGTGCCTCCGAAATTTGAAGATGACCTTGACTTTTTTAAACGGAACTGTATACTTTTTTCTTGATCAGCTTGTAGTCCATTTCAAGACGAATTCATTGACATGTCACACGTTGGTGTTTCAAGCTAGTTTAAGGTTATTTAACGCCGTTCGACCGCTCGGATGCCTCGCGTCGTCCGCGCTCGCCTCTCATTGGTCAGCGTTTTTCGCTAATAACTCGCGAACGAAGCCGCGGATTGCATTTTCGCTGAGGAAAAAGTTCTTTAGAATGTTGATCCCGACAACATATTTCAGGGGCATCGAAATCGGTGAGGTCGGCTCTATCGTAAATAATTATTATATATATTTCCTTATTCTTAACGTTATGAAAAAATTGAACACTATCGCGTTGCTTTACGAAGATTCCCGAATAAATGGAAGTACGAGAAGTTGGGTGAAAACGTCGACGAAATCGATGGCGTTTGATCGATAAGTAAAACGAGTTACTTGATTCAATCGATGAGCGGTCACGGTGTACAGGTACAATTCTGAACGTAATAACGCGGTGCCTTGAAGCTTGGAATCCCATTAGAAGTAACTTATTCCACCTCTAAGACGGTCATTCTATCGATTATTTGTGATGTTACGATTACGTTCGGAGTGACACAGTTGCAAACTTTGTGCCACATGCAGGGGAAGAAGTATTAAGGTGGCGCATTTTTCCGGTTGCTTTTACCGGTATATTCTTAGCTCTCAAATTACAATCGGCTGACCGCAATCATGTTCGATCACGGTGTACCGCACCGAAAGGGATACCATTTTCACGAAGACGTGCCGCGATATAACAGCTGCAGTAAATTCTCCCTAATTCGCGCTCAGATTGTGCTCGGATTCGCGCACAAAAATGGAGAATTTTCGACAGAGAATATACGATTATTGGAGTCTCGCGGCTCGTTTTTTGTTGACAATCGGCGCTTATATATTATATTATACTATACTATACTATACTTTTATATATTATATCGATATATTATATATAATATATATAATATATATATTTATTTATATATTATATATATATATATATATATATATATATATA